ACCGTTCACTCACACAGTCCACGTAGAATCACCAGGTATCCTAAACGCTTTGGACTGTGAGAGGAAGCCGGAGTACCTGGAGATAACTTCCACACAGAAAAGCCCAGAGGATTCAAACCCACATCCTAAACATTATTACACTAACTGAAATTTAAAATAAAAAATTACAAAGGATCATTTTTAAATGAAATATTTCTAATACTATTAGTGATATGTAAGAACAGCACCGCAGGTTGTAGGTTTTGTGAGATGTAATTAGTGTAATTTAACGTATTTAAATGTGTTTCGTCGCTGTGGTTGTTGACTTCAACTACAGCTGTGAGTGTGTCAGTTACACAGTTACCCACACAGTTCATGTTACTGGCGTTTCTCGTGTTTGCGTTGATGCTCTTATTGCGAAAAGCTCAAACCGGATACATTTCTCGGCCGTTGCTCGCTTGTAGTGGCGGTATGAAAAATGGCTATCGTCAGATTCGGTGAACTATCGGACTCTTTTCACTTAAACGGTCCGTCTCATTAACAAAGCGCGACAGCGAGCAATGCGAGTCGGAGCGGCGACCGGCCCAAACCGGAGCTAGCCGGCGGTAGTTAGCATGTTCCCCGGCCGCTGGAGCGGCTCTGTGTCCGGCTGAAGCAGATGGGAGCCGCGGTGAAATCAAGCAAAAGGCGGAAGACTGCGTATCAACAGACACGGCTACAGCTAACTGTTCGCTCCGACATGCAGGAAAACGGAAACCGACAGTGCAGGTAAACACGCCCGGGCTCTCAGCAGGCTGCTAGCGGCGTCAGCTGGAGCCTGCTGCCCGCTGCAAGCAGCGGAGCGTCGGCTAGCACAGCGCGGAGCGGCGGGGCTAGCTAACGTTAGCGGGAGGATGTTCAGTGAGGACAGGGGAGATATTCGTGGAGCTCTAACATGTTTACGTGTGTGCTGGGCAGGAAGTACACCGAGTACGAACCGAGCCCCCACACCGCCGAGGCAAGGTACTGAGTACTGCAATCAGTGCTGAGCAGAAGTATCAGAAGTACCTTCCCTGCAGGAAATGTATCTCTGACTGAAGTAGTACTGGTAACGGTTTGTAAACCGGTCCCCAAACTAAGGCCTGGGCCCCTCTGAAGGGTCACCAGGGATCATACGATGATTAATAAGAAAACAAAAGGAGGACTTTGGACTAATCAATGATCCCGATCTGAAGCTATCAGCTGTTTACAGCTGTTTCAAAGGAATAAAGCACAGACTTAATTAAGTAGAGGCTACAGTCAAAGTAGGGCAGCAACAAGTGCAAATATTTACCTCAGAAATGCAGTACAGCAGCAGTATAAGATTAGGATATACTGCAGTAAAAGTTTATTTAGGTCTGCCACTGTACCAGACGCATCTCCAGGGTGCACAGTAGCAAAGTTACACTGGCTTTGGTGGAAAACTCCTTTTATTCTTTTATATCTCCCTGATGTCCCACAGTGAGCTGTAGGGTTAGTGGTCAGAGTTGTTACTCATGGAAAGGATCCTGTGATCATCCCCCACACTGGCACTATTTTAATTATGATGTTGTTGTTGTTTTGTTTACAGTATTTAAAATCACGTGTGGTTTTCTGCATACTCTGCATTATTGCCCCTAAATCCACGGCTCAAAGGAAAATGAAATCTTTAGGGTCACCATGTTTCTGCCCAAACAAAGTCAGGCAGCTAGGAGCCTGACATAAACAAACAGAAGAAGAAGCCATCAGCTGACTCAGGCTCCTCCCCTTTCACCGATGTTAGTAAAAAAACGAATTAAACCAAAACTGGGACTATTGGCAACTTCTGA